GAGGACAGAAAATTGTCCTGGGACTTTTTTTTTTTTTTTGAGTGGGGGTCTCACTCTGTCGCCCAGGCTGGAGTGAGGTGGCATGCTCACAGCCACTGCAGCCTTGACCTGCTGGACTCAGGTGATCCTTCCACCTCAGCCTTCCAAGTAGCTGGAACCACAGGCGTACCACCACACTCAGCTAACTTTTTGATTAATTGTGGAGATGAGGTCTCGCCAAGTTGCCCAGGTTGGTCTCAAACCCTGGGCTCAGGCAATCCTCTTGCCTCAGCCTCCCAAAGTGCTGGGATTACAGGCATGAGCCACAGTGCCCGGATGTCCTGGGACCATTTATCAGAGTTCTATATCAAGGGAAGGGACATGAGCACTAAGAGATTCCTACTTCTGAGACCCAGGGGCACAGGGTCCGTGGAACTGAAGCTGACCCAGGACAACGACAGGGAAACTAACACACACACACACACACGCACACACACACACACACACACACACACACACACACACACACACACACACACACTCCTAAATGTATATGTTCTTCTCACTTGAGTTTCAAAACACATGAAGCAAAAACTTATAGTACTAAAGTAGGAAATACAAAAATCAGCAATTATAATCTCCTCTTTAAGTAATCTATGTAGAGCAGGGGTCTCCAACTTGCAGTACCAGTCCATGGCCTATTAGGAACCAGGCCACACAGCAGGAGGTGGATGGTGGGCAAGCCAGTGAGGCTTTCATCTGTGTTTACAGCTACTCCCCATCACTCACATTACCACCTGAGCTCTGCCTCCTGTCAGATCAGCAGCAGCATTAGATTCTCATAGGAGCATGAACCCTATTGTGAATTGTGCATGCAAGGGAATTAGTTGCATACTCCTTATGATAATCTAATGCCTAACAATCTGTGGTAGAGCTGAGGCAGTGATGCTGGCACTGGAAAGCGACTGCAAATACATATTAACATTAGCAGTGAGGTTTGACTGCATCTCCCCCCACCATAGAAAAATTGTGTTCCACGAAACGATCCCTGATGCCAAAAAGGTTGGGGACTGCTGATCTATAGAACAGAAAATCAGTAAGGATACAAAGACCTGAACAACATCAATAACCTTACCCTAATTGGCATTTGTCAAGCACTTCTGTCAATAATAACAGAATATACAACCTTACAACCTTTTCAAGTGCACATGGAATGTTCATCCCAAAAGACCATATTCTGAGCCATAAAACAAACCTTCACAGTTATAAAAGGATTGAGTCATACAATGTATGGTTTTTTTAGCCATAACAATTAAACTAGACATAAATAATAGAAACAAACCTAGAAAACCCCAAATATTAGGAAATTAAATCAAAAATTTTTATATAACCAGTGATTTTAAGCAAAAGTAACAGAGGCAGTTAGAAAATACTTGAATTTAATGAAAATGAAAAACTATCACATGGAAATGTGTGGGGTGCATTTAAAACAGTGCTTAGAGGGAAATTTACAATGCTTAAGGTTTATATTAGAAAATAAAAAAGTGTTAAATCTATAGCCTAAGCCTCTACTTTAAGAAACTAGAAAAATAAGACCAAATTAAATCCAAAGTAAAGTAGAAGGATAAAAGTAATGAAGATAAGAGCAGAAATCATTGGTTTTTAAAACAGAAAACAACAGTAAAAGCAATGAAATCAAAATCTAGTTCTGTTCAAAGATAATAAAGTTAAACTAAGAAAAAGAAAAAACACTAATTGCGAACATTAAGAGACTACAGACTTTATAAATACAAACCTTATCACTTATATAAATCTTGATTTTATATTGTAGTTTCTTATTATCCCTTTTTCTTTTTTTTCTTTCTTCCTTTCCCTTTCCCTCCTTCCTTCTTCCTTCCTTTCCCTTTCTTTCCTTCTGATAGATTCTCTTTCTGTTACCCAGGCTGGAGTACAGGGGCACAATCACAGCTCAATGCAACCTGGAACTTCTGGATTCAAGCAATCCTCCTGCCTCAGCCTCCCAAATAGCTGGGACTACAGGTCCATACCACCATGCTTGGCTAATTTTTTTGTTTTTGCTTTTATCTTTGTAGAGAAAGACTCTTGCTATGTTGCCCAGGCAGGTCTCAAAGTCTTGAGCTCAAGCAATCCTCCTGCCTTGGCCTCCCAAAGGACTGGAATTACAAGTGCGAGCTACCGTGACCATCCCTTTCTCTTTCTTTTCTTTCTTTCCAATTTCTTCAGATTGCTATTCATTCCGTGTTTGTTTCAAGAAGGAGAAAATTAAAATTTGGGAGTTAATATCAAAAGGATTTGAAAACTACTTGAAAGACAGGGAAGGGAATGAGGGAAAGAAAGTTGATTGGGTGGAACCTTAACTTGAGATGCCAAATTTATAATAGAAACTGTTTTGTTGATGTGTTAATATCTGGGTAATGTGAGTCTACGTAAGATGGTGAATTCAGTTGGGGTACCTGAGGGACATCCAGATATTGTTTCGTTGAAAGATAAATATGTATGATTGATGTATTTAGGAAGGTCTGGAGTTGAGATTCAAGTTTGAAAGTCATCAACGTACAGGTTATCAAAACCAAAGGAGTAGTTTTGTGGTGTGTAGATTGAGAAAGGTGAGGCCCAGGATGATGCCCCCTGATTTTGTAAAAGTTGTTTTCAATTCCTTGGTACCTCAGGACAACACAGGGATCAGAGTCCCAAGAACCAGGAAAAAGAAATAGCATAAGCAACTCAAGACTTATATTCTTAAAGAAGAGCCTAGAAGAGTTCACTGTATTAAAATTGTGATGAAGCCGTGTATACAAATGGTGAGCAAACACATACAGGCAACTCATGAACTTAAAGTCATTCAACAAACTTTAAAACTGGATTTTAGTGGCTAGAAATAAAAAGAGTGAGCTGTGGAAACATGTATGCAACAAGGGCAATACCAGAGGTGCCCAATGACTGGACTGTATTATTAGGCACGGACACCACTGGTTGTTTGCTTGTTCTATAAGTGTCATAAAACATTAAGATGATATTGATAAAGACTATGATATTTTAAAGGTATTGTTAGAATGCTATTAATAAATATCCCAGGCATATGAGCATAGGTATATTTAAAGGGGGGAAATCAAGGTTCTGCAGTTATCTAGTAGTGATATTCACACTAATGTGTGCTGTCAAACCTTGTCTCTGAATTATTGCTTCCTTTTTGAAACCAAAGTTCATTTGGCAAAGGAGAAGAAACATTCTCTTCTGCTCACTCTTATAACATGAATGTTTTTTCTCTTAATCACTGTGACAGCAAGGGCTCTCCCTGTATGATATGTGGAACTGTAGACTTTCAATAACATCTATGATTTCCTTTTAGTTACTGAAAAATGTGTTATAATTTTATACTTCAGTTTGCCAAGAACAGAGATTCCCTCATGGTACCTCAAGAAAAAGAGATTGGGATAGAACTGCATGTGAACTGGAACTGGGAAACTCTCGGGTACCCAGGGAGCTTGAGGGAAGAAGTCCTCCCTTCATCTCTGCAATGAACTTCAGGATTTCTCCGACAGTATCTTCATGTCCCTTTACACATCTGCTCTGACTGCCACTCTTCTAACTGGCCTCCTCTGCCTAGCTATCCTTTCTCTTTCCTCAGAAATCTGTTTGGAATATAACTTTACCTTGCCATAGCTCTCCTCCTGGCATTTTAGATTCTTCTCCTAGTTCCATCTGGCTCTTTATTGCCAACTTTAGGGTCACAAAAATAAGAATGTTTGGTCTAGTTCGTCTTTTCTTGCCAGTTTATTTCATAGGACTCTGCTAGCCTAACAACTGTCTGTTCTAGGGTCAGGTACTCCTGTCATCCAAACATCATTTAGTCCAAAACTTGGCCATTTTGGCAGACATGTCTACAGATAAAGAATTTTTCTCTCTGACAGAAGTATCCATATAAGTATTTGACGTTTGACCTTTCTAGTAAACATCATATCAGCTTTACTTCAGATTCTAATATATTACCTTGTATAACAAACTTCTTTTATAAATTAATTTTTGGTATCTAGAAATACATATTTTGGGGTGAAGTCAACTCTATAGTATTTCCTAGCTTACTACCTTTCTCATCTAGAAACAGAAAACATAAATAATCGTTTGAAATATAGGCACTTCAATTTTCTTTCCATGGTCTAGGTAAACTACAGGAAGCAGGCTTAAGATATTTTTAACTTCTAAACCTCAGATCTTAGCTCCGATGTTCACTTCTAAATTCTACATGCAGCTTTAAACATTTTTGCTTTAAAAATGCAATCAGTTCAGATTTCTAGCCTCCAGATGGCCCTCTTTCTTTTGGGAATGGCTTGAAGTCCATTTCATAAGGAGGAAATGTTGAAGTCAATGATAATTCTGGGATTGTACAGGTCACCCTGTGTCTTTGCTCAAGCAGTCCTATAGGCTTCCTAGAATATAATAGAGTTGAACTTTTCTTTCCTTTGAGGAGTTCCTTCAAAGCAACGAGTAATACTCACATCAATTTTGCCCACACATTAGGACACTTTATTTTATTTTAAGACCTGGAGTTTATGGTTTGCTTAGTATTTTTTGAGTTATAATAAAAGTCTCACCAGTTCAATTATAATCTCCTAAACTCTGTCCTCATCTACAACACACATAGCCCTTTTGACTTTTAAGAATTTTCCACAATTGGTCTCAGATGTCTCATTCCCTTGTTTTGTAATCAGATGGATCTGGAAGTGCAAAGTTATATGTATTAAAGTGAGGAGATGGGTAAAGGAATGTTGAAATGAAGAAAAAAGAACACATCTGAGGGGAATCAGAGAAACTTCATACTTGATACTAGCATTCGAATTTCTAAAGGAAATGGAAAGATAATTGGCAGTCCTGATTTTTAGATGGTTGTTTTCTTCAGCATTTAAAAATGTTTGTTTGTTTGTTTGTTTGTTTTTACTTTTCAAGATGATTATAGAGCTTGGGACATTCCAAAAAGTCATCTTTATAAACCAGAACAAACTTATCATCCCCCTATTGTGAAATTTGGAAATTCAACTACATTTCAGGATGACTATGTTCCTCAAGAGATAAAGCCTAGGCAAAGCTTTAAACCCTCCTCTGTGGTCAAACATTCTACAATCCCTTTTAATGGTGATACAAGTCATCGCCTTGATTATATACCTCATCAGCTAGAATTCAAGTTTGAAAGGCCAAAAGAAGTTTACAGACCAAGTGACCAAACTTTTGAAGATCTCACGACTCACCGGAATGATTTTCAGGGTCTTTTTGGTGAAACTGCGAAAATCTGCAGACCTGCATATACCAGAGTGACCCAAAATCCTCATTTTGAAGGAAGCACTGAATTCCGTGAAAGTTTCCAACCATGGGAAATCCCACCAGCTGAAGTCAAGAAAGTACCAGAGTATGCGCCCCCTACAGGCAGCATGGAGTTAAACAGCACAAGCCATCTCGACTATGTTCCTCATCAGGCCAACCGTGTCAATCCCATCAAGCCAGTTTCTCATAGAAGAAATAACAGTTTTCCTTTCCAGGGAAAAAGCACCATGAAGGAAGATTTTCCAGCCTGGGAAAGTTGTCGTCAAAGACTTATTAAACAGCAGCAGCAGATTCCTAACCCATCTGGAAAATTTGAAGGGTTGAGCACTTTCAGATCTCACTATGTGCCACATGCACTGATTCCAACAGAAAGTTGCAAACCTTTAAATGCTGCTATGAAGAGCTCTGTTCCATTTGATGATGTAACTATGTACTCTATAGAGTATACACCAAAGAAACAGGAAATATGTCCAGCCAGCTATCCCTCTCCTCCAGGTTATATATTTGAAAATACAAATTCTCAAGGTCATAAATTCTTCCGCAAGATCAATCCTGTAGTGAAGGTCTTCTGATCATCAAATTGTGTTAAAAGAAAGCTAAATATAAAGGTGTTGATTTTCCAAGGGAAAATCCAATTTTTATAGTTAAAAAATTATGAGAGAGATATAATAAACGTCATTTTTTATATTTTTAAATAAGAAAATTAGAAAATGTATTATAGGAGATCAATCTTTTTTTTTTTTTTTGAGTTGGAGTCTCACTCTCACCCAGACTGGAGTGCAGTGGCCGCTCCCGGCCACCGCAGCCTCGACCTGCTGGGCTCCGGCGATCCTTCCGCCTCAGCCTTCCAAGTAGCTGGAATTACAGGCATGCGCTACCACGCCCGGCTGATTTTTGTTTTTGATTTATTGTAGAGATGAGGTCTCGCTGCCCAGGCGGGTCTTACCCGCGGGCTCAGGCAATCCACTCACCTCAGCCTCCCAAAGGCGCGGGATTACAGTCAGGAGATCAATCTTAAAATCCATTTTGTATTGACATTTTAATCAAGATTGTTCTCTAATAGGCACTTCTGAAGGTTGAATAACGTATGTTCCCATTTGGATTATTTTAATATCCAACATACTGTTTGGTAGCAGTCTATTATCATTTATCCTTCTGTTTATAATAATGACAATTGTATGGTTATTCACATGCCAGTTGTTACTGATCAAGTACATTAGGACTATCTAGAACAATACCAAAGTGATACGTGGATTCCTCTTCCAAGAAAATAGGATTCATTTTTCTCAGACTTCCAGACATCTGTATAGCGCACACTTAGTCAAGGTTTGGCTGGAGGTCTAGAGACCGCTCCTCTGCCCCTCACCATGCTCAAGTAAGCGACGGGCATTGTGGTATGGCAAGGAAAGGCTCTGTGGGCTCCATTTCTATCTGTGCCCCATTAGGCGAGCCACTCAGAGTCTGTGTTGGTAAAAGGATATCTGTTTTCCGAAGTTTGTTTTGAGCATCATATCTTATGATACATTTTAATCCATAAAGTAAAATGACAAATGTAAGGGATTATTAACAAATCACCCAGTCTCTTTGTGCCTGTTTTCTTCTTTTTAGATTAGGGTACTTACCTACTTACTCATTGTTTTCTGCCCTGTAGCAAGGATTGTCAAGCAACCTAATTTGCTTTGAGTTTATGAATAGTATGTAACTCTGAGAACAGCTGAGCCCTCTGAAGCGTCATGCGTACCCAAGAGGTTGTTGAATGGAGAGCGAGGACGGGGGAGAGCACCTTGGTTTGAAAGACAGTATTTGCAAAAAGGAAAAAGTATTTGCTAGAGTAATTTTAGGAAGACTGACTGCTCTGAAGAAATCTTCAGTGTAAACTTAGGTAGTTATGTACCTAATTGTCATGCCCAGAGTCACTATTCAGAAGCAGAATCAGGCCCAGTGTGAGGCATAATCACCTCCTGTACTTCTTTCAGTGTGAAGATTAGTGCTAAAAAGGAAGGAAAGAAATGATGCCAGTGAGTGAAGTAGAAATAACGTATTTATAAGTGCTGAAAATTTCCCAATGAATTAAAATCTTGTTGAGTGGTTGCTGTTTTTTGAGATAAATGATTGTATTATGAAAAGTATGGTTTATTTTAGCATAAAGTGAATTTTAGTCTTTTGATGGTTTCAGAATTGTTTTGAAATGTACTTTAATGAGAATAAATTAATCAATATTTGGTTAAAATATCTTAATTATTTGAAAGTAATTTGTTCTTATTTCCATTTGCATTTATTTGTGAAAAATATGGCATGTAAAATTTTATATTTCTATGTGACATTAATAAAACATCAATGAAAGGAATGGATTTTCATGACATTATTTCTGTACCTAATTTCTTTGGAAAAGAGAGCATTTTAATAATGTCCTGTCTAGGTTAACCTATACATAAGTAGATATTCTTACTTTTTAAGTAGAAAACATTATTATATAATCAACATTAGAAACTAGAGAGTACTACAGCCCTCCCTCATCTGGCCCATATTCCAATGCTGGTTGTTCAAATCAATGTGTAATTTGATGGGATGGTCTCCTCTCTGGACAAAGGCCACCCTTAATATGACATCTCCTGAGGTTTCCTGAGGTAATTCATCATAGACTGAGGATGCAAATATGAATGATGGTGTCTCCTCATAATCTAACATTCAATATAACAGGTGTGAAAATAGAGATTGCTACAGAGTACACTGTTAGCCTAGGAGTTCAGAAAAGTGTTCCTTATGGGGACAACAGCTGAGCTGAATCTTGAAGGGTACATAGGAATTTGCCAGATCAAAAGTGCGAAGGTGGGAACATAAAAATGGGTAGAGGGATCTACGTTTCTGTGCAAGAGTTGAAAAGATTCCAAGCTATGGTGGTAGAAAACTAGCAATCCCTGATTTATCCTCATCTTTGGTCTTCTTGAAATACTGTATAGGAACATACACACACTCATACAACATTTTAAGTGCTGGAAACTAGTAATTTTCACCCCCACACCATCCCATTTCCATCCTATTTCCCTGGATGCCCTTACCGTGGAAAGTAAGACCTTGGTGAAAAATTAGAAAAAAGCGTTTATGTTTTTATAGGAGGTTTGTAAAACTGCACAGACAATACAAAGAGAGAACCTTAATATAAACTATGGGCCTTGGGAGACGATGTGTTAATGTAAGTTCCTCAATTGTAACAAATGTGTCACTCTTATGAGGGATGCTAATCTTAGGGGAGGCCTCACAGCGGCTATGTGAAAACGCTCTATACTTTCCACTCAGTTTTGCTATGAACCTAAAACTGCTCTGAAAAATAAATCTATTTTGGAGAACAAAACCAAACCTTCAAGACAGGAGAGTAGTGTTCACTAGTCAGAGGCTGGGAAATCCACCGCCCAACTTCTTAATGTATCAAATTTACAAGTTTTCTTTTATACAAAACTACAGTCTAAGGCCCTCTATGACAATGGCTGAGAGAGAGGAGGAGCTTTGTAATACAAAGGGGAGGGGGAGGATGACATTTATATAAATTTCTGGAAAAGGCAAAACCTATAGGGACAGAGCCTATATGATTGCCAGGGTGTTAGGGGTAGGAGCAACTGACCACAAAGAAGCAGGACAAGGGAGTTTTCAGGGGGCCGGGGTGGAACAGTTATGTAAAAAATGGGTGGTAGATGCACTAGTCTCGGAATTTGTCAAAACCATTAGAGCACCACAGAGTTAATTTCACGGTATGTAACATAAAAGCTACCACCTAGTATGTGGGGAGAACCCAAGAAGGAATGCAGACTGCCAAATGGGTGTAACTGTACTACAAATTAATCACATCACCACACTGACAGGATTGGGAAGAAAGGAGATTACCTAAGTAATCTTGGAAAACAATGTTCAGACTGGACATTATAAAGCTACAGACAAAAAAATTGTATGTGAACATTGTATTCTAGTTGGTAATTTTTTTCTCTCACAGGGGTGTGTGCTATCAATTCTAAACCACTTTATGAGTATACGAAGGTTGAACTGAGAAAATATATCGTGGGTAGTGAGAGCCAGGTTTCTCACTGTCAGAGAAGGAAGTTACAAATAAGAAAAAAATGCAGGCTGGGCTCCATGGCTCAGCCTGTAATCACAGCACTCTGGGAGGATAAGGTGAGTGGATTGTCTGAGTCTGAGGGTTCGAGACCAGCCCAGGCAACTTGGTGAGACCTCGTCTCTACAATAAATCAAAAATTAGCTGGGTGTGATAGTGTGAGCCTGCAGTTCCGGCTACTTGGAAGGCTGAGGCAGAAGGATTGCCAGAGCCCAGCAGGTCGACACTGGGGTGGTCTTGAGCGTGCTACTGTACTCCAGCCTGGGCGGAGTGAGAATCCAACTCAAAAAATAAATAAATAAAAAATAAAGGGTAACCATCACCACCATCGATCTTCATATATTTTCATCCTGTAAAATGGAAACTCTATACGAATTAAATAACTCCCCAAACTCTCCTATGCTCAGTTGCTGGTACATTATACTTTCTATCTCTAAGATTTTGACTGCTCTCAGTATGTTGTATGAGTGGAATCACTTGTGACCTTAACACTTGAGTACTGGCTAGGGATTTTGTTGTAGAATGTCCTTCAATTGGGGGTTATCTGATGTTTTCTCAAGGTTAGATTAAGAAGGTAGAGAAAGGAGTTACTCTACCATTGTTAATAAAAAGTCTCTAACTGCAGACATCTAAAATCAGTCCTTAAGCTCCTCACAATGGCCTAAAATAGAAGGGTATCATGCAGTTTTTAGTTCCTCATATAAGAAGTTTGAATGTCACCACTCCATCCCAACAAAAGTAAAAATCCAAACAGACTAAAACATCTTCAACTCTATGGATTTGTAAAGGAGGACAGGACACAGGGAAAACCACTGCCCTCAATGGGACAAGTAAATACAGGGAGTCATGGTTTACATGGTTCACAAGAGAAAAGCACCAAGGGAACCAGTGCCAATGTAGGAAAATCCAAACTGCAATTGTTTAATTGCTGGAGCCTCAGTGTGGACAAATCTCAGAATTAAAAACTCCAGGAGTAACCAACCATAGGAGAACACCCGCAATATTGTGATATGTTGTGGTTACCTGCAGAGAAAAATTTACTCATGCTTCCAGGAGGAGAGAGAAAAAATAACCATTTTGAAATGCGCTACAACCTCTGTTCTTAACAAGGCCTGTCCTCAAGAGACGTTAGTTAATCAGAGGGTAACCTTCTTGGATATTATCAGAATCAAACTGACCTGTTGGGAGGGAAATACAGTACCTAATTCCAGCCCACTCTAGTCTTCCAAATGGGAGAAAGGAAATACTGAACTACAGCCCACCAGAGCTATGCTGACCTACCCTAGAGGGAGAAAAAAACAACAACAACAGACAAACACTTGTGAAATTCACCGCCCAGAGGCAGAGACCAAAAAGACTAAGACCTAATCATAGAATTATAGAATGCTTTCCCTCCCCCCATACCTTACCACTACATTACTAAAAACCTACTTACAGTCTTTTACTTGATGCCTCATGTCTGACTAT